GGGGCTGGGGGTGTGGCTCAGTGGTAGAGCCCCTGCCTAGAATCCCCCAGTGAGGGGCTGGGGTGTGGCTCAGTGGTAGAGCCCTTGCCTAGAATACCCAGTGAGGTGCTAGAAGGATGGCTCAGAGACTGCCTAAGATTCACCAGTGAAGGGTTAGAGGTATGCCTCAGTGGAAGAGCACTTACTCAAATTTACCAGTGAGGGGCCCAGGCGTGACTCAGTGATAAAGTGCTTGCCTAGACTTTATCAATGAGGAGCTGGGTGACTAAGTAATAAAGCATTTGTCTAGCTTATGCGGGTTCAATGCCTAATACTGTTGGGGGCGGGCACTAAAAAAGATGGAGAGGAGAAGTCACAGGAACAGCAGAAAGAGACCTTGGTTAATGAAGTCTGTTATTCTGGAATTAGAAATCTGACTGCCTACCACACCAAGGCCAACATTCAGGAGACAAAAGTTGGCAAAAGACAAGCTTATTCAAGGGCCAACAATATCAAGAAGGGGGACTGTAAGGATTATGTCCTTATCATGTCGCCAGCCTGCGATGGCGTCCCAGCCTAAAAAGCGGGCGTGCCCTCCCACAGGTCTCTCTCTCTCTTTCCATATTCCCTCTGTACTTCCCCTCCGCGCGGTCTCTCTGTCTCTGTCTCTCTGTCTCTCTCTTTCTTTTCTCCTAATAAAACTTTAAAAAGGTAACCATGGCTCATGATTCTTCTGCCACCACAGCATCCAGCGCTCTCTTTCGCTGCTGCAATAGCCACAGGTGGCGGGCAGCCCCCGAGCACCTCCATTAAAACCCTTCAGGCACTCGTGGGAGCAGCCATGCCGACAGAGGAGAGTGCGGATGTATCGGTGACAGAAGTGTCACGAGCCATGGTTATCTTTCTAAAGCTATATTGGGAGAGAAAGGGGTAGAGAGAGACCGCGTGGAGGGGGGAGAATACGGAAGGAGAGAGTATGGAAAAAGAACACAGAGAGAGCATGCCCGCCTTTTAGGCTGGGACAGATATGGATCTATTTGTAATCTTTTACATATTGACATCCAGTTATGACAGCACCATTTGTTGCAGATACTTTCATTTTTCCATTGTATAGTTTTGGCTTTTTTGTCAAAAATCAGGTGTTCATATGTGCATGGATTAATGTCAGGGTCTTCAATTCGATTCCATTGGTCCGTATGTTGGTTTTTTGTTTTGTTTTGTTTTTTAAGATTTTATTTATTTATTATGTATACAGAAGAGGGCGCCAGACCTCATTACAGATGGTTGTGAGCCACCATGTGGTTGCTGGGAATTGAACTCAGGACCTCTGGAAGAGCAGTCAGTGCTCTTAACCTCTGAGCCATCTCTCCAGCCCCCATATGTTGGTTTTTATACCAGTACCAAGCTGTTTTTATTACTATAGCTCTATAGTAGAGCTTGAGGTCAGGAATGGTGATGTCTCCAGAGGTTGCTTTATTAATACAGGATTCTTTTAGCTATCCTGGGTCTTTTGTTTTTCCATATGAAGTTGAGTATTTTTCTTTCCAAGTTTGTGAAGAATTGTGTTGGGATTTTGATGGGGATTGCATTGAATCTGTAGATTGCTTTTGGTAAGATTGCCATTTTTACTATGTTAATCCTACCTATCCATGAGCATGGGAGATCCTTCCATTTTCTGATATCTTCTTCAATTTCTTTCCTTAGAGATTTAAAGTTCTTATCAAAAAGTTCCTTCACTTGTTTAGTTAGTGTTATCCCAAGGTACTTTATATTATTTGTGGCTATTGTAAAGGGTGATGTTTCTCTGACTTCTTTCTCAGCCCTTTTATCATTTGTGTATAGGAGCTGCCCTGACTCAGTTTCTCTCTGTACCTACTTTTTCTGTCCCCTCACAGCTCTGGTAATAACTAAGCCCTTATGCTTTTGATCCCATCTTTGTCCTCTGTTCCTTCACCCTCCATCTTTCCTTCCTCTTCTCCTCTCCTGATCTGATTCACCTACAATCTGCAAGAAACTTTTCCTTGCTCCTCATTCCTCAGCCTGAGCCATTCTGCCTTACCATCTACAGAATCTCTGTCTTCTTCCCTTTTGTCTGGCCATGTGGTTCTGTGCTATTCCTTAAGACCTAAAGGCTTGTTTTGTTCCTGTATGCCTTTCGCTCTATACTTCCTTGTCATTCGAGGCTTCTTCCCAGATGTTTGGTCACAGGAACAAGAACCATGACACAGAAGGTCAATAGCAGGGCTGGTGCTGTGACAAATTGGGACATGGGACTCAAGTGCCTTATGAGCTGGTTTGTGGGGGAGATGTGGAAGAGCCTAGAGCGAGGCCTTCTTGGAGGGAGTTTGGGAGACCAAAATGCTGAGAGAAACGCAGACAGTAGTGGAGGCTGGGTCCCCAAAGTCTCGTTGCCAAGCTCTTGGTTTGGAGTTGTTGTTTTGCTTTTCTTCTTCTATTTTTATTTATTTATTTATTTATTTATTTATTTATTTATTTATTTATTTATTTATTTATTTTGTTTTGTGTCTGAGTGTTTTGCCTTCATGTGTCTGTGCACCACATGTGTGCCTGGCTCCCATGGAGGTCAGAAAAAGACATCAGACCCTCTGAAACTAGAGTCATGGATGGTTGTGAGCTGCCACATGGGTGCTGGGAACCTAATCTGAGTCCTCCACAAGAGCAACAAGTGCTTTTCACCACTGAGCCCTAGGAAGGGCTCCACAGCCCTAGGAAGTTCTTTATGGCAAAGCCCAGGCTCCAGCAAGCCCCAAAAGCTAGGGTTCAGCCTGGCATAGTGGCATACACCTTTAACCACAGCACTTGGGAGTCAGAGGCAGGCGGGTCTCTGTGAATTTGAATCCAGCTTGGTCTACATAAGTGAGTTCAAGACAGCCAGAACTACATAGTAAGACCCTGTCTCAGAAAAGAAAAAAAGAATGCCAGGCAGTGGTAGCACATGCCTTTAATCTCAGCACTCGGGAGGCAGAGCCAGGTGGATCTCTGTGAGTTCGAGGCCAGCCTGGTCTACAGAGCAAGATCCAGGACAGGCACCAAAACTACACAGAGAA